TAGTGCTATTTTGGGAGTAGCGTACAGTGATACCTCTACTTACGAAATTAATTGGTTCTGGAAGAAATTTTTTCACGAGAAAATTTTGGAAGTAGAGACGCGTTTTCCATGTAAATGCCCTAATTCGTTCCAAGCCCCCCAAAATTCAGACATAAATGTTTCCTAAAGCATGAAAAGGCATCAAAATATGGAACAAATACATGTTACAATTAGATTATTGCACAATAAATGAGAGTTGTGCATAATGTAAAAAAAAAAAAAAAATAGAGTAAAGAATAAAAATGATGGTCATTTAACTTTGAACTCCATCCTCATCGTTTCTTTTGCCTTCTTTAGTGCCTGTTCTCTTTCAGAAGTGGTTTTTGCCTGGCGTTTTGTCACAAAACGATCCAAGGACGTTTGCGTTTGTTGGCTTGTAACAATCCTTCAAAAATGTCCAAGGCAAACATCAGCATAGTGAGCGATCGCCCGACTGGTGAACACTTTTTCTCGGGATACACATTTAAGTCAAACTATCGTAACACCTCATGGCTCGAGGGGCGAATGGCAAGGACGCTGCAGAGACACATATCTATCCATCTACACACATAGACACATACGGTAGAGGTCCCTCTTAGTCAATGGGATGCCAGGATGATGCTCGTTAATAGCCAATGGCAGAGCAGCTATAAGTATGTTGCATTCAGGAAACTCGGAGCTGTGAGTAACGGCCCATACTGTATTTTTAGTATTCGTATCTCAAAAGTTCTTTTGCAACAAGAGGCAATATTTTCCTGCTGAGACGTTTCGTAACTTGAACATTTCGTATGAAGAGATGTTCGTAAGTAGAGCTACCACTGTATACTTTTGTTCGAAGGAATAACAAAGTAGATACAGTTTCTTCATGTTTGATTTAGAATAGCATGTTAAAGTCAGGGCCCAATTCATTTGCATAATGGGAACAAAAGCTATGATCAGGATTTGATTTTTACTGTTTTGTTTAAATTCAAACCCTGCTACTGTTCTGAAGCAACCTGCTCTGAGTAGGAACTGTGACTCCAAGTTGTTCATTGTTCATTGCACTTTTGCACCTTGTAGCACGTAGACCACATCTTTCAGGAATTTCTCGAATACAGCGTGGCTCCAAGAAGAAACACTCCAAATTGGGCTAATTACTCCGGAAATGAGACTTTTGTTCTGTGTGCTCCTCTGATCTATGGTCGCATGAAAATAGCTTTTCTTTTTATCTCCCGTCTTTTCACTTGCCCTTCACTGGTTTTTTTCTGTCTTCCTTTTCCGACACAGAGCTGTGAATCAAATCATGTCTCAGTGAGATGTATTAATTTAAAGTTCTTTCTTTGTTTCTCCCATTCATCATCACCGCTCCTCCTTTATCTTTCCTACCACTCGTTTGTGTCTTCATTCGATTTAACCCAAGCTCTGCGTGATCCGTCACTGGAAGACTGGCGAAACCATCCTTAAACATGCTCACGCACCCACACCTATACCTACACACACACACACACAAATTGCCAACACTACCATCCACACTCTCCTCAATTCAATTCAATTCCCACCCGACCAAGCATTACTCAATTGGAACATTGTAATCATTCGATTGTATTCATTACATTTTGAATACACATATATAGATGTTTTTGCTATGTGATCATTTTTAATTAGTTTTTGTCAAAGTATTCTCCCCTTTGTAAGCTAGGAGCTCAGACGGTGTTTAGGTGGCATCACTTGGAAAAGGTCAGTCAGGTTGGCGAGAGCCGAAAATGGCACTCGTGCTGGCATCTCAGCAGCCAATGTGAGAGATGAGCAGTACTCATGAGAGGCTTAACCTCTTATGCACCTTCTGTGATTTATCACACACACAATGACGAAAATGTGTGCACATGGCATAACTGGTGACCCTCGTCCTGCAGCCTTTGCCCTTTTCATTTTACTCTGTCTCCTACACTGGGGGGGACGCATTGTATTATTGGATGCAGGCATGGTAAAACGTACGCTAGCTTAAAAAATACAGTAGCATGCATGCAGGCTACTGTATGTCAGTCTATGTTTTTAAAAAGGCAGCGGCAGCAAAACTGAGTTCTGTTGTACTTTATTGAAGTTTGAACAATGTACTCACGTTATTTTTTGGATCAATCCTCATCATCAAATCCAAGAAAGTCCTAATCTTCTGTATCTAATATGAACAGCTGGGCAAAGTTCATAATCAAACACACCAGGTTCCCTCACGCCATTGTAAGAGCCAGTCTCGTTGCCGTATGGCTCCTCAGAAAGGATGCCGGCTTTTGTGAAAGCTCGAACAACAGTGCAAGCAGACACGTTAGCCCAAGCATGCGCAATGCATTCACAAATTGCGGCGCAACTCGTCCGTAAAGCTGTGTTCTCTTCTCGCTTTGTCACGTCTGTTCCATTTTCTAAATGGTTCTTTTCACCGATCCCACGTATGATTCCTTCTTCTGATTGGATTTCGTCACTGTGGTCCCTAATTTGTTGGTAACATTGTCAAACAATTTCAATTAATCATTATCGTATCAATGAATGACTTCTATTTTTCCTTTCGTTTCGTTTTCATCCGGGAAAAAAAAAATACTCCTGACGAAATGAATGACAAAAATGTTTTGTCTAAATGGAGTGACAGAAATCTTTTGATTGCAGTGCTTAATTTATAATTTTATATCATTTAATCATTTGAGTCCATTTCAGTATTAGTTATTGTATTTGTTGTTGTTCTTAATAATAATAATAGTAAGCAATGCCCAATTTTCTTTTGTCTTGAATTACTTTTTTTTGTAAGGACTCCCCTAGCACCCATTTTTTTTTTCTTTTTTCAGTCACCAATACGGATTTTTCTTGCTTTAACACGAGGGTAACAAATGTTGAGCCTGTGTGTCATCTCCCAAATCCATGTTACCATACTTCCTGCGGGTGGTTGTGAACACCGACAAGTCTCCACTGAAGAGATTCGAGGGACAACTAATTGCATATTAAATGTGAAGTAATGGGAGTGAGAAGACATTGCAATCTTGTAACAATCAGTGAGACTTGCTTTTCTTGATGAAAAGGATATTTTGTTTTACTCCTGACTGGCTTCACGACATGACATTGATTGTAATGCACATTTGATTGTGTTTGGGCGTTTCCTGGTCTCTTGCTGATCAGTGTCTGCCTCGGCTAAAGGCTTTTGTCTTTGGAATAGAATATATTAGTACACTGTCATTAAAAAAAAAAAAAAAAAATGCAACTACAACAAACATTAGTCAAGCTCTAACAAAAAAAAAATGTTCATAAAAACTTTCATTTCTGCCTAGTATGTGATTGTGTGTCTTTTTTTGAGCATATTCTGTTCTTGCCTCCAAATCCAAAACAGAATTCATCAAAGAGGATGAGCTGGTTTTTGTTTCAGCTGGGAGACAGACGAGGAGAACAGCATCAAAGAAAATCGAAACAAAGAAATCAAAAGAACTGAAAAATTCACCACACAGTGAATCACTTAGAAACAGAGACACAAACAACAATGAAGTATCAATTATTTTCCTTGAAATATCACGTTCCAAAAACGTGCATGGTAGGTTAATGAAACACTCGAAATTGTCCGTAAGTGTGATTGTAAGTGTAAATGGCTGTCTGTCTGCGTGTACACTGCCATTGGCTCATTGGCTGGCAACCAGGTCAGGGTGTCCTCCAGCCTACTGCCCAAAGAAACCTCAGCAATTATTGTGTCAATAGTTAATTTCACTCCTCATCAAAAAAATGTACGTTTTTGTAATGTTCAGTGTAATCTTCCATGTGCAGGAGCCTGATAATTTAAAAACTCATGGACAAAATAACACAGACCCTTCAAGTTTATTTTTCACTTTCACTCGCACTTTGTCCTTGGAAGAGCTGTTGTTTTTCTTCAAAATGGTCCCCCACAGAACATTTTTTTTTCCTTGAGTTTAGTTCCTTTTTTGACTTTAGACAAGAAACTACCTGTACATTGTAAAATCCATTCTACCTTCTGTTGCTTCAAACCTATTGACTTGTGATATAAAAATTAGAGTAGCCTAGACATACATTTACATCTCCAAAATGAAGGTTGATGACCACATCCTTGTACACCAGCCTTTAGAAGTGCGACACCGTTTGCTGGTACGAAGACGGATACTAATAGATGATGTCAAAGGATCATCTTGATGCACACTCATATTATTTTTATTTTTGAACCCACAAAAAAAAACCCAAGGCTTGAAGCAAATACTGTAACTAATGTCCTTCTACATCATTTTGTATTTTTCAAAAATGAATCATCATAATGTAGGTATTATTCTTAGGGGGCTTCTTTTATTGTTTTAGGATTTGGATTTTTTTTTTTAAGTGATTAGTTAATTCTACATCTACTGCATGTGTGTACATGCGTGCACATGCGTGTGTGTATGTGTGTGTGTGTGTGTGTGTGTGTGTGTGTGTGTGTGTGTGTGTGTGTGTGTGTGTGTGTGTGTGTGTGTGTGTATACATACATACATACATACATACAGTGCTGTGAAAAAAGTATTTGGACCCATCCTCGTTTATGTGTTCTTTGAATATTTATCACCCACAAAGGTTTCAATTCATCAACCCAATTTTAATATCACACAGTTATTGCTGCCAAGGGTGGCACAACGCATTATTGGGTTCAGGGGCAATTACTTTTTCACATAGGTACAAGGTAAGTTTGGATTTTTTTTCCTGTCTAAATAAATTAGATTGGCATTTAGAAACTGCATTTTGTATTTCCATGGGTTGTCTCTGTGTGATATTAAAATTGGTTTTGATGAACTCAACCTTTGTGTGTCACTTATATGCAAAGAATACAGAAATCAGGAAGGGAGCAAATAACTCTTCACAGCGCTGAACATGTACATTCTGCTGCGTCACTGCTGCGCTTGCACTTTTAGTCGAAGCTGATAATTTCACAGGTGACAATTCATTTTCTGTGTCTCATAAGTAAGAAACACTGTCTCTCTCTCGCTCTCTCCTCTCAGCCTGATGTCATCTAGACGCTACTACTTTGAGATTCTTCACAAGCAGGATGACAAGGGCTCGGATCACGTGGAGGTTGGGGTGAGTGAAAATGAAACGACACATTAATTGATCTCCTTTTGGCATCGGACCTCTTTTCTTCCCCTTTGCATATGGGGTGGCTTGCAGCTGCCTTGTTTCACGTTTGCTTTGAACATTTGCATTTTGCTCTCAGTGGCACTTTGCAGCGTTTGCAATGACATGTTCAGCATATAAGAAATCCCCACGCATCTCTCAGTCTTGTTTGGCTCCCTTTTCAGCCCTTTTGGAATTAATGTCTGGTTTTCCAGTGTGATAAGCATGAACATAGACTGAAATTAAACTTTCTGTTGATCTCATCGAGTGGATCGAAATCGGTCCATACTTTGCATTTAATGCAGAATTGCTGATCGACCGTAATGTCATAATTTGCACACTCTATCAGTTACATCATTGATTGGATCCGCGAAACAAGACATTACACCACTTCATTCACTTCAGGGTGGTTCTGTGCTGCCGTATTATATAAGTGAGACTGGAAGCTAATGTATATTTAGCCTTGTCTCACATCTTGTTGGCTTTGTGTTAGGAAGCGGGTGTTCTGACTCTGCACCCTCGACCATCCAATTACCAAGTACTGTAATAACGTTCTTGTAGAGTTTTTTTGACTGATAAAACGTCCAAACACCATTCATTTCTTTTTATTCCCCAAAATATCTAGCTACATAATGTGCGTTATTTATTTCATTTTAACATCTATTTAATTCAAAAATAGCTTCCATCACTCCTTTTAAATTACGTGAACTTCCCACACACATTCAGCCACTCACAGATGCAACCAGCGGGCAGGCGTGTTGTTGGAACTAACACGGAAATAGCTCCATTGTTGACAAGAGACACTCAACGTTTGCGACACAAGGATACGTTAGATACTGTGTGTGTGCGCGCGCGTGTGTGTGTGTGTGTGTGTGTGTGTGTGTGTGTGTGTGTGTGTGTGTGTGTGTGTGTGTGTGTGTGTGTGTGTTGGTCACCTTGTCCAGCTGCAATGTTAGGTTTTCTATCTTCTCTCGCCGTAGTGGTGTTTACCACCTGAGGCAAAGATTAGATATGAGTGGCACTTTGTTTCAAGTTTCAAATACCTCTTGTGTGCTACGACTTGGAGTGGGAGGGCATATGATGATGATGATGATGATGATGATGATGATGATGATTATGCTGATGAAAAGAGCTCACCACTTTCGTACATAGGATTTTTTTTTTTTTTTTTTTTTTTACAAGCCTCAGGTTATCATCGTCATGGTGACTGATATTACTGGATCTGCTTCCTACTTTCCCAGGACCATTTTTGTAATCCCTTTCTTTGTTACTTTTTCTCCATTTCCAACCAGCTTCCTCTATCTAACTGCCTACCTCTTTTTATATTTTGATCCCTCCATGAAACCTTCTTAGATTTCCCTGCGTCTTAATGTTCTTAATTGTCTTACCGTATTTGTTGGACCATAGTATTTCAAACCCTGCCCCCTTCAACTTTACCTCACCAGTCTGTACATTCTGCAATTTCAATGTATTGATTGACATCAAGACATCAGAGCAGTATGCGGATGCCATGTTTTTTGCGCGGTGTTGACAAGATGCTGTGCGGTGCCTGGAGGACACCCATATAAACACATTGTCAGAGGTGGTTTGCAAGAAGATGACTGTGTGGGCGAGGAGGACTCAGATGGGCATGGGCATGTTTCGCCACACTTTCTCGCAATGTAGTTTTAGGGTACGTTCACACTGCAGGATATGATGCCCAATTTGGATTTTTTTAGTAAGCTATTCACATCACAAAAACAAATGTGACATCTAAAGCTGCATTTTGGATATGGGTCACTGTGTGATATTAAAATTGGTTTGATGAACCGTAACCTTGGTATGTGATAAATATGCAAAAAACACAGAAATCAGAAAGGGGACAGATACTATTTCACAGCACTGTATATGGCGTATGTATGCAAAAAAGTTGGAAACGACCTGCAATATGGCCTTATAGCGGTCATTAAGCACATTGTTTATTAAATACTCTGGCGAGTACTGTTGTTGTGGTTCATTGGTGGTGCATGGGGTATTATCACGAATAATATAATAGGAGTATAATGTGAACAAGGGCTTGGCAATATATCAAATTTGTTTGATTAATTTGGCATTTTAAAAATCAAGGATTTCAAAATTAGCTTAGTCGGGAAATCGAGATGCATATAAATAAATACACTCTTTTCCTGCCCTTCTGACTTGAGCGGCTAATGTCTGCTTTCCGCCTCTCTGCTACTTCTGCCAAAGGCCATGCTGCCCACTCACCCGGCTCACATTATGTCTGCCGTTGAAGCCCAACAGTTGATACCAAGAAAAGGGACTCATGTTACATCCATGATATGGAAGACGTATTCACATTAGTTACTAACTAAACTACTTAATTGTGGCATTCAAGCAAGTTATGCTCAAGGCATAAATTGCTATTTTTTTGCATGAACTTTGAACGTTACGTTTATGTTCAAACTACAGTAATTTTGGCATTTGACTCAGCATGACTCAGATTTGTTCTTGGTTTTGCTGTTCGGTGCTTTCTACCATCTTTGTTACCGATTTGTTGCTTTACTGTTGTATATGTTAGTTGTTCCTTGTACAGCACTTTGTATGCAGTGATGGCTGTTTGAAAGCGCTCTATAAATACAGTTGAGTTGAGTTGAGTAATTGAAAGTCAAGATACATTGTTGTTGTTTGAACATTCTGCACAGGATTTCTTTTTGCAGAAATCAAACCTTTAAAAATGTTTGTTGGGTTTATTACTTTAATTAAAACCGATATAAAATGTATTTGTCCAAAATGAGTGAAACATAAAAATAGAGAATACATTTTTGGGCCATATCGCGGCAAAAAAGCAGCTTCCTTTAGTCATGAGTATTGATACATTAAAATTGTTTCTTACCTAGCAACTGATTGCTGTTTAAAAATGGATTTTAGCATTCCTTGAATCTTTGGCTACAAGTGGAACCTGACCTCCAAAAATCCTTCAGTCGACATCTCCCCCTCTTGTGAGTATATTAATGTGTACATGTATATAAAGTAGCTAAAATACTTTTCAAATACCTCATTATAAATTGTATTTTGCTACATGACAACTACCTCTTTTAAATTTCCCCAGTTCTGTCTCTTCATAAAATACGAATCCCTCCCATCCATCTCTGAGGCAATTAAAGTGGTTTATACTCATCGAAACAATTTAATGGAAGTTATGAAGGTCACGTAGCAAATCATGATAGTGTGTGTGTGTGTGTGTGTGTGTGTGTGTGTGTGTGTGTGTGTGTGTGTGTGCGTGCGTGCGTGCGTGCGTGCGTGCGTGTGTGTGTGCGCGCGTGTGTGGGCGCATGTGCGTGTGCGAGATGCACGTTGCACTCTGTTATTATGGGCCCCTTTTGAGATTTAACAGGAAATATATTTCATACCTCTCCAAAAATAGCAGATTTATTGCAAGTGTCCCACAACAGCGTCAGCACAGAGCTCACACAAATCTACATAAAAGCAGACACTCATCTGTTGTGGAGGAAAGCCCGGATTCACAGCTTCCCCCCCACCCCCACCCCTTTGTGTTGTATGCCAGGCTGTGATTGTGTGGTCAAAGGTGAGCTTTTTCTGTGAGAATGTATTTGTTTTGCAGCGCTTGTTATAAAGAAGAAAGAATACAAAGGTGCAGTCTTATCTTTGAGAAAGAAATGAAACCTTGCTCTTTCATGACTGGCCCATTTCTTTTCTATTGTGTGATGGAAGGCACAGGAGGAAGCAGGTGCGGAGTGCACTGCATCCCAAAACGAATGGAAAGTACGTGTTGTGGGGAGCACCAGACCAATGAATGTGGAGCTTGTTGTTTTTTTAACTTGAGTAAGCAAATTCGCAGAGTTGCACAGTGACACAAGCTCTCTATTATGCTGAGCCTGGACTGGAAATGTCACATCATATTGTAGCGGCAATCGTGTGGGAATTAAACAGTTCTCTTTCCATCTTCTATTCAGTGCCATGAAGCAGTGGCCACTTGGCAACAAAGAGGGGGATGGGGGGGGCAAACACCATCTTTACTTTCTTACTAGTGTATTCTATTTCATACAGAGTAGTGATAATTTTACTCAAGATTCTAATTAATAATTTAGGCCTGATTTTGTGTGTGTGTGTGTGTGTGTGTGTGTGTGTGTGTGTGAGTGTGTGTGTGTGTGTGTATACACAAATGACTGGCAGCCACTTGTGGTGCCGTGCAAATATGATTTTTCCGAAGGCCTTCACAATCTCGAGTGCTGGCCTTGACCACACACCCTCTGTCAAAATTGCTCATGCTCCTTTGAGCCAATTAGATTTTTACATTCACTACTCGGGGTCTTCTACAAGGCAGGATGATGAGTGAATTCCTACCTCCTCTAAGTGGTTCAACGATGTTTCGCTTCCAATTTGTTTAGCTCAAAGTGCATCAAAGCTTGATTTACGATGGAGGACAAGAAACATATCACCTCACACTCTCTCGACCGGAGTCATACCATATCTTATCAAATCGTTATCCCATTGAATTGAACAAAATTGAATTGTTCCTCGAATTGTATCCCACTCATAGTATAGCGATACGTATCATTTCATCTTTGAGAGATGCACACCCCTAGTTGTTCACCTGGTTTTGTCTTGAGAGCTGTCCAATTAATTCCTTATTTTTAGTTTTTGTTGCTAACGGGAGGTAAATAATCCAGTCAAGGAACCCGTGGCCGCTGGGTATCCCCGACGACACTGGGGGGCTGCGAGTCCGAGCGTGCATAGCAACACCATGGCAAAGGCACTCGGTCAGACATCACTTTTTTTAAGATACCTGAACATGAAAATATTTTTTTTCCTCTTTTTTGTAACAGCAACTTCTACCATTCAATGACTACCTATAACAAAGAGGGCCAGATTTGGTATGGTGAAAATGTGAGGGGGCTGACCAGTTTTAATTACTTGAAGTGTTCACTGCGTTCGTTTCCACTTCCCAGTCATCTTGTCGTTTGCAT